ACAGCCACTAGAGACTGGATTAACCCATATGTAAACATAGCAGTTTCTCTGAAACTGCCATGTTTACAGTAGGCAGGGTTAACCCTAGAGGGACCTGGCACCCAGACCACTTCATTGAGATGAAGTGATCTGGGTGCCTATAGTGGTCCTCAAGAACACATGACATCACTCCCTAGAGTGACCTGCCCAGCAATAACGAACTCCCTAAGAATTTGGGACCTAACAGCAACTAAATACTCCTTAAGCAGGTTCCCCTCTCCAATGTCCCCGGTACTCAGGAACCAATCCTTCCCACCAGGTATGACAGCGGGTAACTTTAGCGGCCTCCAGAGAGCAGGCATCCAGAGATATTACCATCTATATAAAAATGGCCAAGTAGTCACATACGACCAGCTCAGGGGAAAAAGCCCCCCTTACAACCAAGGACTTCTTCCGCTACCTCCAATTACGAGACTTTGCTAGCTCAAAAGAAGTCAAGGAGACGGCCACTCTCCCACTCACCTGGTTCGAGAATATATCCTACCAGGAAAAACACCCCAGTAGACTCCTATCGTTACTATACTCTCACCTCAGCAGGGAGGCCAAAGAATGGGGGGAGCTACGATATACAGACCAGTGGGAGACAGACCTGGGAGAGACATTAGAGGGCTCCGACTGGCAGGACATTTGGGAGGCCACAGCACGATCATCAATATCCGTCACCCTCCAGGAACAATAATTTAAAACACTTTTCAGGTGGTACACCACACCATTAAAACAATTCCCGCATGCGGATCACCCCCACAGATCTTTGCTGGCACGGCTGCGGGGAACAAGGCACCTACGTGCACATGTGGTGGAAGTGCCCCTTGGTACAGACCTATTGGGTTCAAATTATCAATCTAAGCACTAAGCACTTGCAGAGACCACTAAAACTAGACCCCTCGGCCTGCCTCCTCTCAAGGCCAACAGATGGCCTTCCACGCCCAGAGCAACAACTGTTAAATATGATATACTTAGCAGCCCGTAGAGTACTAGCACAGAAATGGCTATGTCCGGAAATGCCCCCAGTAGCACTGGTCGTAGCGAAGATAAAAGATAACTACCTTATGGACAGATTAACTTCCCTGGTTAGGCACACCACCAAAAAATTTAGCAAAATATGGGATCTGTGAGAACTATATCAGGAAACCACGGAGGGCAGACAGGGGAACCGAACACACACGTAGGGCTAACGACAGAGGGACACACGACACCCCTCGCCCGAGCCGTGGAAACAGAAGCACCAATTCACCGTATCACTAAATACAATATTTCTGGTTAATACTGGATTTTAGAATAACTGTTATAGGTTATAAGTTTAGTTAACAACCGTACAAAACCATGCTAATTGAAGTGACATATGTATTCAAGGCAAGACCTCACTGACAAACCAAGTAGAGTTGTCTCAGCACACCACGAGATGACAAATTAACCGCCGACGAGACTACCGGCGACAGTAAACATATCTCTTGCCTTGAGATAATCACCCTCACCAATGTGTAATTGCGGCTTCTACGTAAGCCTATGCACTGTCATAAGTATGCACTTCTTTCGCGGCTTCTGCGCAAGCCTATGCATTGTCACACAGGTATGCACTTCTCTCACGGCTTCTGCGTAAGCCTAGTCATTGGCACACATATGCACTTCTTTTTTCTATGAAAAAAAAGAATTAAAAAAAAAGAACACATGATGTGTGACATGTCAAGATTCCCTTTTATTCCAGAAGTTTGGTCTTTAAGGGGTTAAGTACGAAGAATGTGTCCACTTTTTTTTTTTTTTTTACAAAAAGTGCAGATTTCAATTGACACTTGTATAAATTTAACCTGGTTACACCGCCTGGCTGTCAATCAGACAACCGGTCCTGTTACTTCCTGGTTTGTTTAGCTCAGTGGGACTAAACTCGAGAGGCAGCAATTGCTCAGAGCACCTGCCTTGCAAACACTTCTCATTGAGCTGCATTGGGAAATCTGTGATTGGACAGCACAGAAAGTCTGGGCAGGGTTAGAAGGGGAGGGCTTGCAAAGGCTGCAGACAAGAGATGTGCAGTTTCTGGAAGCTGTTTTTAGAAATAAATCCAATGCAAAATACATAATTTTCATTGAGGGTATGTCTACTAAATTATAAAAATAAAAAATTAAATATTTTCTTATGTGCTACATAAAGGTGTGGATGCAAGGGACTGGGCCTATTTATTTAGAAATGGGCCTACCTCATTTAACCCTCCCATCACCTCTAGCTACATACATCACTGCAGAGTAATGTCCGTATAACTATGGACTGTAATTGTCTTCAAAGTATAAACTCTTTTTGTATTTGCTCAAACTCCGTATTCCTCCCCCCTCCTCCACCGCAGTCTGTTTCATAACCGGCTAAGGAAACAAAGAACATTTAATTGTCATTGAACGCGTGAGGTTTTGAGTGGTTTTCCTTTGAAGCTTTAATTATTTGTACTGAATTAAGGAGCCTTTAGCTATCTGCATTTTGCCATGTCATTAGCATTCATTTACAAGCTGCCAAAGTAGTAATATGAAAGTGTGAAGGGCAGCTGATGGAACGCCGCGTTATCACTTACAGTCACAACGTTAACCCATTCTAACTGTAATCATACTGCCCAAGTGTCATGGAGCCAGCAGACCAGTCCTGATTTGGAACTCGTTTCCCATTATCTTGTTTGTTTTGTGGAATTCCACATCTGGAAACACCAGAGAAACGGTCTCACACAGAACAGTTAGTGGTCCTTTAAAGCACTCGCATGCCAGGCAGGGCATTTCTACCCACATTAGTGCACTATAAAGCAACACTCCAGTGTACTAGCGACTAGTCACCAGTGATGGTCTCTCTCTGTCAAGCCAATGGCTCCCGTATTGGACTGGGAGGTTAGCATAGGATGGATTTTGGTCACTGATTTAGCCACCCCATCTTCTAATTGTGTGACTACTGCACTCAATCGTCTGCAAGTTTGTTTTTAAAACTCTTGGATCTTTAAAAAGCTCTAAAAAAATATTACACACATTTAATCCATTTATCATTAGACTAACAGAAAATTAGGGGAGTGCATTTAAATATAAAATTTTTTAAATGTACATTTTGTAGAATGTAAAAAGAGGACACTTCTCACGTGAAACACTTCACAGATTAAACAGCTTTAGGTATTTGGAGTGTCCCTTTACCTAGAAAAATGTCACACTACTGCTCTTCTTTTCTCACTGAGATACTGTAATTATTTGAGGAAGGTCTTCATTGACCTGTTATTTGTCCAAGTCTGTCTCATTCTCTGTTATCCCTACGTTAAAATGGTAAAGCACTGCGGAATGTGTTGGCACTCAAACAATGCTGGATTATAGATTGAATATTGGGTGCTCCGTATAAACAGCAATTTTAGGGTAACATTCTAAAAGTGGAGCAGTGTCCATGGAAACCATGCTGATTGTTCCACTTTTGAATCTTTGCCCCAGAACTCCCAGTATCCTCAAAAAAGTGGTTCATGTCCCTATCTACACACTGCGGACGGAATGCTAAGTAAAGAGTTAATCCCTTGCAGAGGGATTTGAGTAATCAGCGCATGGTTTGATTTCTGTAAATTAGAGGATGAATCACAGTCCCCACTGTAATGATTCAGCAGGGGAGTGACTGAGCTCATTAACAGGTTTCTCTCAAAGGCAACAAACTGCCATTTACTGTCCACAGTGGGCAGGGTCTCTTCTTCCAAATTACAGCCTTCAGACTTTGCAACTTGGTGTTTTTAACTGTCAACAAAAGTGTTTTTTTTTTCCTCTTGCCTGAAAATATATACGAAAGCAGCAAAACAGATGTGTGATAGCAAGGGCACTACACATTGCCAAATGATATTTAACTCCTGCAGCCGCTCGGAGAGAGAGACAGGAAGAGAATGCAGAGCAGAAGGTCCTGGAGACCAATTGCTGTCCCATAGCACAGCCCAGTGGAGCTCGCAGGTAACTGAGAATTGAAGACGCTCGGGTAGAGTGATCGAAACCAGGAGAGCAATAGACAGTCATCTACGCTGAAAAAAGTCGTTTTCTGGAATTTATTTTTTTTAATAAATAAAAAAGTGAAAACCTCAGCATTGAGACAAACACTGATATTAATGAACCTGTTCTGAAATGTGACCATTACATTCCGTCTTTATTCTGACCGCATTAAAGTCATCTTAAAAGTGACTGTTTTCACTATAGTAAATGGTGACCGTTTTTACATTAATTTCTGCTTCAGAATAGCACTGAATTTACAGTGGCAGAAAAAAAAATTCTACCTGTTTTGTGTTGGAAAAAGTGTCAGAAATTAATAAATAAAAATCATAAATCCTGTGGGTTGATTTAAAAAAAAAAAAAATTAAATGTCAGGGCACAAAAAAAATGCAACAATGAAAAAAAAACAACAGATTTAATCAATTATGAAAACAAATGTGCAGAAATGTTGACAAAACTTTGATAAATCTCCCCAGCTGTTTCTACTTGACCTGGTTGTGTCAGGACTGAACGGAATTAAAATGCCAATTACTAAATCATTAATACAACATTTAAAAGGAAGCCGAGCATCACAAGATCCAGGCGATTCTGTGGTGTAATTCACAAAGAGATGATTCCCTTCCAGAATTATTGTTTAAGAACCTGAGTGAACAACATTTGCTTTAAAATCACAGATTCCAACAAACAACAATTTAAAAACACACTTTTTTAAACAAAAACAATTTTAAAAAATTTCAAAAACCCTTAAAAAAAAAAGTACAACAAACCTCGGATTCAAATTCTTTATTAATTATAATTTTTTAAATAAATTCTTAAGGAATAATAATTACATGTAGCTGAAATTATACAGTTTTCAAGTGATATATACACACACACACACCGGTCATCAATAACAAAGTACACTGGAAGCGACCTCTTCCTTAGAGTCACACAGTTTGGTACATTTTCTAAAAATGGTTTGTGGGAATAAATAAAAAAAAATATACGGCAGGGTCATGTGTCTGGCTTATCAGGTTGGCTTGTTGGCGCCTCCACCTTGTCTTCAGGATTCTTTGGATGATGATCTTCTGCTGTGTTGTGAAGCAGTATTTCCACCGCATCTTCTCCCTGGACTCGATGAACTTTCTCACCTTTGGCCGCTAGAATTTCTTCTATATTCCTTCAGTGGGATACAGGGGAGGAACAATGTTGAAAGAGGAAAAATGCAAAATGCATAACAGTGTCAAGCAGGGAGGTCATCCAACCATCAAAGACTAAAAAACAAGCCCCCAAAAATTAAAATCGTGTGCTCGGCCAACACGTTATGTCACTCAAGAGCAGAACATGTTCCACTGGTTGATTTTACAGTCATCCCATTAAAGAGGGTTAAATAACATGTATACCCCTAACAGTTCTAGATGCTGTCACAAAATAACCTATTTCAGACACTGCAGGTTTTTGCACGATTTGTCGGAACAATTACATTTAATCTTGGTCCTTAGTACAGGACTGTTCACACGTATGCACACAGAGGGAAAATACCAACAAATCCAGGTCAGCTCCTCTTTTCTTTTCAAAATTTTTATTTCCCAAGGAAGACATACTAGCAACATATCTTCCTATCCAATGCTTTAATTCAGCAATACCCCACCAGATACATGTATATATGGCAATAGTGAAGTACGCTTTGATCCACCTTAATGTACTCTTACAAAGGCAATGAGTTACAGAATAGAAAAGAAAAAACTAACCTATGACAGAGTACATAGCTTATCCCTCTAATACTGATGGTATCTCTCTTTAAAAAAGGAAACTAAGCAGAGAGCCTGGCCCTGTAGTCTTAGAAATGTAAATACTTCTTATTCTGAGAATACACTATTCTAGTGGCTGTCACTCAGCCAATCAACCTACCCCTAGATACTCTTCCTGGTGCGGTCCTACAATCTTTGCAGGACCAATGTTCAACATCTTCACACTCAGCATGAAAATGCTGAATGCTCCCCATAGGTGCATTGAGTGAATGCATCTCACTCAATGCCCCCCCCAATACTTCCCTATGGGAAAACATTGGGCGATTGAGATAATCAACACTGATGATCTGAGCTGGGCAGGAGCAGTGGCGAGACCACCGTATAAAGGGCTAAAAGATAAGTAAAGCTATTTTACGATTTATGGGGGGCTCCTGAATGTAATTTGCTAGAATATCATCTAATGTTAGAAAAACACGTTTGAATTTCTAATGTTAAGCCGCTCCTTTAAGGATTGCACTTTAGCAACACTATTGGATTAACGGAAACCAATACAGATTCTATCTTTAAGTTCCTGCATTTAAGAGTGTTTTTAACTACAATGGAAGGTATGAAACTTTAATATGTAGACTGAGCCAAGTTAATATTTAAGTGTACGTTGAGAATGAAAGCTAATTTAGTTCGGAGGTGTACGGAAACAATTCCCAAGAAAAGCTGCACACATGCTCAGGAATTCCTTAAATTTCACTGTGGCAAACCTAGCCACTTATAATAATCTGGACGATGTGCATAAAAAGGTTGCCTGCATTATCCCTGCAACTTCTTGTATAGCCTGGCTGTACACTGTGTGTTAATGTATGTTTGTATTGAATTCCTATGCTAGCAGCCGAAAGCCGCTAGCATTCATGTGTTTCGTTTCACGAACAGCCACTTTACAGGCTGTTCGAGAACCGAATGAGCTACCCCCTAATAGCCCACACAGAGAGGGACGTGTGGCGCTCGTTAACCGATTGCAACAATGTTGCAATCAGTAATTAGAGGCTTTCCTAGGTGGCCGTCGTTCGGCTACCGACCACGCGGCGATCGGCCATCTTGGATCCTTTGTCTCCCCAGCGGTGTTTGGTCGTCGAGTGCGTGGAACTGAAAACGGCTACTCGACGGCGCAAACACCGCTGGAGTTCCAGGCCGTTCGGGAGCTCCGGTCTTTCACTATTAGGGTTCCCCCATCGGTGTTCGGTACTTTGGGGCGAAATCAATGGCAAAGTGTATTTCGTGCGGCGTTCGGTTGTTTAAGCTGGGATCTGAGTGGTATTCTCACGAACTGTGCACTCAGACCCCAGCTATCTACCGAACGTCCGTTCGTTTAAATGGACTAAGTATTGTAAAAGTTATAGATTTTAAAGTGAATTGCCGGTTCTGCTGCACGGAGGGATAATCCACTTAACGGTATATTCTAGTGGGAGTATTCCTCCCGTGCAGCAGTGCCTGATGGGAGAAAAGATCGGAATGTTAAGTCCCCCATGTAGTCCCCTACTGTATTACCCCTGCTATGTCAGTAGGGAAACCCCTTGCATGGGGACTTGCATAAATACTGGATGCTGTGAATAAAAACCCTCAGCTGACTTCCAGAACTGTGTTTCGTCCGGTTACTGGGGAATTTGGGATATTGCCCTGCTTTTCAGCGCTGACTGTGGATTACCTTCTTTACCAGCGGAGATCGTGGGATTTAATATTGCCGCTCCGCTACATTCACTATGTGCGAATTGTCAGGAATTTGAAGTGAATTCAAAGTATATTTCATCTTCAATTGCCAACAATTTCAACTTTAGCGAATTACCTTTAGAATTTTGCCGCAATCTATTTTTAAAAAACGAATACTCCTAGCACCATAACCACTACAGCTCACAGTAGTGTTCAAGCGATTCCTAAGCAGAACCTTCCATTAGCCCTTCTGAGCCAATGAGCTTATCCCTGCACTGCACGACTAATCTCAGGAGAGCTAACAGAACGTACTTTAATCAGAATATCTAGATCGCCAGCATTAACTGTGGCGGCAGGTAAAAAAAAGTTTGACTCCTTACACAGGGGAGTTGTAGAGGTTATGGCAATATGTTGTGCCAGGGATGATGACCTGACAGTTATACGATAGATGTTTATTATATGTCTCCCTATTCCATGCTTTCCAGCTCATACAAAAATCCTCTTAAAACAGATTGCAGAATTTAACAAATGTCTATCAGCTGTCATTATAAAGCTTTTTCCCTTCCACCATGCGAGTACCAGAGGGCTTATTAACACAGATAATTTATATTTCCTGCTGAGATCTGCACTTACCTTTTTCCCTGCAGATCAGAGAACCACCCAAGGTTGTCCGCTATGATATGGTGATTTTTACATCCTGGGCACTTTACAATTACGACCCCCTTGTGGTAGGCAATTTTGGAGATGGTTTTACGGGATCGAGTCGAGCAAACCTGAGAAGTTAAACAGAAATCAGTTATCTCAGTGTCACAACAATCGCCAATTGGCTTTGCCAATGCTCACAGCCGAACAATAGCTTTGTAAAATTATTTTGATTTTAAAGGACCACTCTAGGCACCCAGACCACTTCAGCTTAATGAAGTGGTCTGGGTGCCAGGTCCTTCTAGGGTTAACCCATTTTTTCATAATTATAGCAGTTTCAGAGAAACTGCTATAATTATGAATGGGTTAAGCCTTCCCCCTAATCCTCTAGTGGCTGTCTCATTGACAGCCACTAGAGGCGCTTGCGTGCTTCTCACTGTAATTTTCACAGTGAGAGCACGCAAGCGTCCATAGGAAAGCATTGTAAATGCTTTCCTATGCGACGGGCTGAATGCGCGCGCAGCTCTTGCCGCGCATGCGCATTCAGCCGGCGGGGCGGATCGGAGGCGGAGAGGAGGAGGAGAGCTCTCCACCCAGCGCTGGAAAAAGGTAAGTTATTACCCCTTTCCCCCTTCCAGAGCCGGGCGGGAGGGGGTCCCTGAGGGTGGGGGCACCCTCAGGGCACTATAGTGCCAGGAAAACGAGTATGTTTTCCTGGCACTATAGTGGTCCTTTAACTTCTCTGAAAAAAAAAAATTAAATGAAAAAAACACTAGAAAAGATTCAGTACAGTCAAATATGCAAAAAAAAGCACAACATACCAATATAGGGATTGTTACAGACTATACATCACATATTGTTTTCCAATCTGACAATTTTTATTTGTGTTGGGTACAGAAGGGAAGAAGGGGAGCGGGTCAAAAGATGTCCATGTCAGTATACAATGCTTGTAACACCATAACATCCTTGATCTGCAACTCAACGACTTACATAATTCAATAAGTGCTACTTTACGTTGGCTTAGTGGGATGGGGAGAGGGTACAGAAAACAAAAGGGGAGGGTTGAGGGATATGAACGGGTGGTAAGCTTGTTTCCCTCCTAAAGCTCCCTTTCATTAAGGGTCAGTCTCATGCCCCACGAGGGTTTTTTTTTTCTTCTAATTGTGTTGTGGGGTTGCTTGGATCGATGCTCCGTACCCCATTTGTGGTGTCTATGTTTCCTTGGCCAACCGTGCGTCAGTGCCCTAGTGGTGGCGTTTGGGGTTTGGTTACTGGTTCGGCTCCCTGTTAAACTTCGGGAGGGTTTCTGTGTTTGGTGATATAACTGAGGTGGCGTCGCTCAGTGCCAAATTGTTTGGCTAACTGCTGTGCCTTTAATTATTGTGCGGGCGAGTGTTTACGGGTTACTCTTGCTCTGTTCTGTGGTAGGGCTTCGGTGGGTCTAGGTGGACATGTATTATTCGGGGAGCTCTTCATTTTTTTTTTTTTTTATTCTTCCACTCCTCCGACTGTGTAGAGGAGGACTGCCCTGCTTATGAACGGCTACCCATTGGGGAGGGTTGTTAAAAAGAGGGGGGGGTATAACTGGGGTAATCGGTATGTTCTTACGTTACCTTGGGTGTCTAGTTATGCCTAGTTATGTCTCTTTGAGCCTCATCCTATCCTAACAGGGTCACTGGTTCTCCTGGTTTCTATATATGTTGTCCACATTGCATGTGCTGTAGTGCAGCCTTTTCCCATTTTTGTTTGGTTCCACATGGCCACTTCATATTCCAGTGTGGTAGAGACTAGTGCGGCTACCTCTGACACTGTAGGGATATCCGCGTCTTCCATTGTTTGGCTAACAATGTAGTGGCCGAAGAGAGTGTGATGAATATGATTTTAGCTATGCAGTGGGGTACTCCTCTTGGCATGTGTTTGAGTAGTATGGTTTCAATAGTGTGTTCTAATATGCACCCTGTGGCCCCCTGTATGAGTTTCACTATTTGTTCCCAGTTGGGCCGCACCAGGTCGCATGTCCACCACATATGGAGTTGAGTACCCTCATGTGACAGACATCTCCAGCATCTGTCGCTTGTGTTTGGGTATATTGCCTTTAGTAGGGTGGGTACCATGTACCACCTATACAGTAGTTTCCTTGCGGCCTCCAGGTGAGACGCGCAGGTGGTTAGTCCCTTATGATTTCTGTAAATGCTGTCCCATTCTTCCTGCGTGAGGGATCTACCTATATCCTTATTCCAATCATCTATAAAGTGCCAGACAGGATCCTTTTTTGGGGAGTTAAGGTGTTTGTAAGTAAGTGATAGGGTTTGGTGGATCGGTGTTAGATGGAGACACATCTTTTCGAAGTGTGTGAGAGTGGTATTGAATGTTGGTGTGGGGCCTTTCTCCTCCTTGTTGCCAATTATTGTTTTTTGTTGCCAGTACGAGAATGTGAGATGTGGTGGAATGTTGTATTTTGCCTGTAAATTTTGTAGCGTTTGTGGCCCTTGCGAGGTGCATACCTGGTGTAGGTGTGTGATTTTGCATCGTTGCCATGCTCTGGATGGGAACATTTCGTTGCACAGCCCAATGGTGCCCAGTGGAGTTGCCATGGACCAAGGCCTGGCAGAGCATAGGGCTGTTCTATGAGTATCCCAGCAGGTGTACATTAGTTTAGTCGTGGGTAGTGTAGCTTGGGCTGTGCGCCTTAGTTCCTTGGGCGCCCAAACTGATGCTGGGAGGTTCGTGACCTCGCCACAGCTGGCTTCAATTTCTATCCATTGGGGAGTGTATGCGGGGGTGTGCATGGTGAGGATATTAATTATCTTGGTTGCTTGATAATAGGCCTTGATATTGGGGAATCCCAAGCCCCCCTTGTCGGTCGGTTTCATTAGGAGCATTCTTGGTACTCTGGGATGCTTTCCACCCCAGCTAAATCTGATTAGGGTAGACTGCAGTCTTTGTAAGTAAGTCTGGGGGAGGTGTACTTGCAGGGAGCGGAACAGGCATAGGAATTTTGGGAGTATGGTCATTTTGATGGGCGCTATTCGGCCCAGCCATGAGAGATATTTGTTCTGCCACGTCTGTAGGATGTGTTCCACTTCTTTGAGGAATCTAGTGTAGTTGGCGGCGAAGAGGTCTGTGAGTCTCTTGGTCAGTTTTATGCCTAGAAATGTGAGGTGGTCGTCCCTCCAGTCGTAATTAAAGTTTCATCTGTATCTTTCCTCGTCTGACTTAGCCACATTGATGCACATGGCCTGGGTTTTGGACAGGTTTAGTTGGTAGTATGAGTTGTTACTGTATTTCTGAATTTCTTTCTGTAAATTTGGTAGGGATACCGTCGAGTTGGAGAGAGTGAGGAGGATGTCATCCGCGAAGAGGTTCAACTTGTATTCCTTGCCCCCTATAGTGATCCCCTGTATGTCTAGGTTGTTGCGAATGGCTATGGCCAGCAGTTCAAGGGCTAGTACGTAGAGTAGTGGGGAGAGGGGGCAGCCCTGTCGGGTGCCGTTCGATATGTTAAATGTATTTGAGCTGAAGCCAGAGTTCAGAACAGTGGCCGACGGCGAGCTATAAAGTGTTTGGACCATATTCAGGAAGGTGGGTGGAAAACCGTACCTATGCAGCGTCTCATGTAGGAATTTCCAGTTGAGCCGGTCGAACGCTTTTTCAGCGTCTAGTGAGAGCATCGTGCACTGCTGTTTGGACCGGTTGAGATAGTGGAGGATATCTAGTACTTTGCGGGAGTTATCTGGGCCTTGTCTGCCTGTCACGAACCCCACTTGGTCCGTCGCGATCAAACTGGGTAGTAGATTTTTTAACCGTTCCGCATATATTTTTGCATATAATTTGGCTTCTGCATTTAGCAGCGAGATGGGTCTGAAGTTTGGACGTTGTGTCGGTGGCTTGCCTGATTTCAGGAGGGTGATAATATGGGCCGCTAGGAATTCGGGTGGCACAGAGCCCTGCGCTGTAGCGAAGTTTAGGGCTCGTGTGACGTAGGGGCTTAATGTGATTTTGAAGGTGTTATAGTACAGATTAGTGAGGCCATCTGGGCCCGGGGCTTTCGCTTTCGGCATGGATTCAATTAGCCGTTTTACCTCATGAGTAGAGATCGGTTCTGTGAGGTGGGCAACTTGGTGGGCTGTGAGCTTGGGCAAGTCGATACAGTCTAAGTAGCCTTTGATTGTGGTGTGTGTCGGCAGTATGACTGAATTGTTGTCTTTTAGATTGTAGAGGGAACGGTAATAGCTCGCGAATGCGTTGCATATTTGCGTGGGTTATAACAGTTTCTGGCCAGAGGACGTCAGAAGGTAGGGGATTTTGTCTCTGGGCCAATGCTTTACTAGCTCTGTTCCCCATTACAAAGGTTGTGGCTTTTAGTTTTTTGATTGCGTAGCTCGCTTTTTAAAAATTTGCCGTGTTGATGTGCCGTTGGAGTTTGGATATCTCGTCTTGTGTGCTTTTGGAGGGAGTGATTTGATTGGTTTTGTGGAGGTCGTGTAGTTTCTTCAGATTCTGAATATGTGTTGTGTGATATGTTTTACATAGCTGAAAAGAGACTTGCGTCCATCAAGTTCAGCTTTCCTCACATATGTTGTTGCTGTTGATCCAAAAGAAGGCAAAAAACCTAGTCTAAAGCGCTTCCAATTTTGCCACAAACTAGAAAAAAAATCCTTCTTGACCCCAAAATAGCAGCCAGATGTCTCCTTGGATCAAGCAGCTATTACCCCACTAATTAGAAATTATATCCCTGTATGTTATGTTTTTGTAAGTATTTATCCAATTGCAGTTTAAACCTCTGTAGTGACTCTGACAAAACCACCTCTTCAGGCAGAGAATTCCATATCCTTATTACTCTTACTGTAAAAAAAACCTTTTCTTTGCCTTAGATGAAATCTCCTTTCTTCCAGCCTAAATGTGTGACCTTGTGTCCTATGTATAGCCCTGTTTATGAATAGATTTCCAGATAAAGGTTTGTACTGGCCCCAAATATATTTGTATAAAGTTATCATATCCCCTCACAGGCACCGTTTTTCCAAACTAAACAGATTTAATTTATTTAACCTTTCTTCATAACTAAAATGCTCCATTCCTTTTATCAATTTTGTAGCTCGTCTCTGGACTTTTTCTAGTGCCATGATATCTTTCTTTAGAACAGGCGCCGAAAATTGCACAGCATATTCAAGGTGTGGTCTTACCAGCGATTTATAAGAGGCAAAATTATATTTTCATTCCGACAATTTATACTCCGCTTTTCTTAAGGTAGGAGGCTCTGCGTATCAACAATCCCCTGATCACCGGTTTGTGGGCCAGCCAAAGGGTCATGGGGGATATATCTTGGGTGTCATTGTTATCGAGGTATGCCTGCATGTCATTAGGAGTTGTTCATTCAATCTCCAGGGGCTGCGGTTTTTGTAGTTATATTGGTCCGTAATAGTGAGGGTCACTGGGCTGTGGTCTGACCAGGTGGAAGTCCCTATCTCGCATGTTCTCACCATGTTTAGGTGTGCACCCTGTAGTAGAAAGCAGTCTATCCTCGAATATGTGTTGTGTACCTGTGAGAAATTCCCTGTCTTGTGTGTGCAGTGTTCGCCAGACGTCCTAGAGACCGAATGTGTGTAAAAGTTTGGTCAAAGACCTGCAGTGTTTGTGGAGTGTTTTAGCTCTTCGTGACGAGTGTTTCGCTGTCGAGTCCAGTAGAGGGTCTTGGTACTGGTTAAGATCCCCGCAAAGGATAGTCGTGCCCGTCTGCAGTTGTGCTACGAGTGTCAGTAGCATTCTGAGGAAGCTACCCTGGTTTACATTAGGGAGGTATGCATTTACAATAGTGTAAGTGGAGTTGTTTATGGTGCATATCAAGATAAGGTACCTTCCCTGTGGGTCTTGCCTCACCGTTATTTTTTCATACGCCAAGTGGCGGCTGAGGAGGATAGAGACCCCTTTACTCTTTGTTGGGGCTGTTGCATGATATTGGTGGGGATAGATCATTTTCCCTAGGACCGTGTTGGAATTCCTTTGGAAGTGCGTTTCCTGTAGGCAGATTATGTCGGCCTGTGTGGCCTTCAGTTCTCTTAGTAGAGGTGTGTCTCTTGTGCGGGTTATTTAGTCCTCTAACGCTGTGTGTGTACATTTTCATAGTGCGAACAGTGTGTGGATTTGTGCTAGTCTGGTGCTGTGGTCTAACCTTAGCTCGTGTGGATGGCATGAAGGTGTGCGGGCTACCCAATGGGAAGGGCGGTATGCAGCTCTCCAGTAGTGTACTTGCCGAAGAGAGCCAAGTGATCCTGGGTCTTGTTCACTGGATACCATTGTACATGCATATAGATCCTGACCTAGAGGCAAGTTCGTAGTATTACATAGCATATTCCAGACAACATGTTTCGATTGACATACCATTATACAACATAACTTAAAAAACATTAACTTATAACTATAATCGGGCACCACTGTTGAGGTACCCATTTAACAAGGATCGAAGGTAAAAGTGAACCTTCTTGGGTGGGGGTAGGTGGTCGTGTCAGGCTAGATCAGGCCCAGGTCCGGGCAGCTCAGAGAGACATCACATATTTTTAAAGGAACACTAGCATTAGGAATGCAAACATGCTTTCCTAATCTTAGAGTGATTTAGAGGCTATTTAGATTCAGCTGCCCCACAGAGGTTATAAAATTCATATATTAACGGACCTTCAGAACAACAGTGTGCGGTTTGACTCTCGCCGCAGTCACCCCTCCTCCCCAATACTGATGATCTCAGCCAATCCAATGCTTCCCCATAGGGAGGGCTAGTGCCACTCTAGTGGCTGAGCTGCGTACATAAGATGTAATAATGAAACCTTTCTGGCACTAGGGGTTGTGGCTAAAGAGGTGGGATTATGTTGCAGCAGTCTGCAAAATATTTTCTTTTTGTGCAGAAACAAATCCAAGATTTCAGCTTGCAAAAAGTAAAAGCAGCATATTAAGACAAAAGCCTAGCAAATGCAATAAAGTTGCACTGGTGCCTGGAGTGTTAAAGGGACACTGGAGTGTTAAAGGGACACTGGAGTCACCCAGACAACTTCAGCTTAATGAAGTGGTCTGGGTGCAGTGCAACTGTAATTTTAGTCCTTCGATTGAAAACATTGTCGTTTGTAGATACTGGCAGCCACTAGAGGAGCTTTGTGCTCTGAGAACAGTTTCAAATGCTCACACGTCACCTCCTTCGAATTCTTCTTACAGAGAGCATTCTATTGGAAGGGTGCGGAGCTTGCCACACATACATTTCCTGTCCCTAATGCTTCTCATGGAAAAGTATTGGAATGGACAAGCCATAGAATTTTCCCTTTTTTATATTTAATTTAGGTGGGGGTGGGGGGCAACCCTGAATCTATTTAGAGAGGAGAACACTATACGGTTCGGAATACAATACATGATTGCATCCCTAACCCTATAGTGTTCCTTTGATTTCACATTTTCCCTTCCAATTGTTTGTCGTTCTATAAAAGGATATTTTTAGGAAATTATGGAGGGGTCTATAGGTCCAACAGCATGCTGACACTAGGGTGGCATTATTAAAGCTACCCTGCTTCTCTGTGTACAAAACATTAGCCAAAACTCTTCTGTAACCACAGGTTGGCTATTTTAGTGATTTTGATTTAAAGGGGCACTCTAAGATCCTAACCTGTAGGGCACACTGTAAAGATTATGGATCGAACGGAAAAACCTGCTTCGGAGTTTGCCAGCTCTGTAACTTATGTATCCAGGGAATGCTTCTTGGTTTTAACATAATTTTACTACTTACAACGAGGGGATGAAGGGAGCTCTACTGCGCTCCTGCGTCCTGTAGTGGTTATGGTGCTTGGATTGTACTTTCCACCAAAATTCAGTGTTTAACAAATTATCTTCCAAATGTTGGAATTTGGTTTTTAATTCACTACAATTGATTTAAAAAAAAAAAACACAAGAGGACGCACAACCTGTAGACTCTATATTAGGAGGTTATGACAACATAGCAGTTTGGCTATTTTACCAAAACATTTTAAAATTCACTTTGAATTCTCACTTTAGTAAATTAATTCTGACAGACTGGGATCCAGACAGTGAGAGTTTAGTGGGGGGGAGGCTTCCATTGGCAGCAGTTACTGACATATTGATACAAAGCACCCTCTGTCTCTCTGTCTGTCTGTCTGTGTCTCTGTCTGTCTGTCTCTCTATATAACACATGGCACTGTCCTCTGCTGCCCTGGCAGTAAGTACCCAGCAGTCAGGGGGCACAGAGCACACAGGGTACCTACCTTACAGGTGTATATGAGATGGTAATGAGTGGACTGGATCTGCCCCAGGGTAGGTTCCCCATGGTGGGTGCTGGATGTGTGAAGGTTCCTGTGGAGGGGCACCAGGTAGGTACTCTGGGGTCTTATAGCTGAACTGGGGGCACACAGCCTGCTATACCAGGTGACATGGGCATCACTCCTTACCCATAATGCTCTTGTTTCTGGGAGCCCCCTAACTCTGAGAGCCCCCTGACCCTCATAGCCTGCTGTCCTGCCCAAAACCTGGAGAAACCTGCAGCTACTAACCAGCATGGCTAGATTACTGAGCGGAAGTCTGCCACTGAGGGCGGAAGTGAACGCTAATTCGGCGGCCGCCATCTTTGATGTGGGCAAGAAGCTACTAATTCGGGGATGTTATTGTTGTATTTTATAATAAATGGTGGATAAAGTGGGGTTTGTGCCATGGAAAACCCTAGCAGCCAAGGAAGACTAATTATGCCAGGCATAAAAAACCGTGCTGGTGGCTGAGCAGTGTGGGAGTTGTGCTGCACAGCAGCTGGAGTGTTGCCTATCTGTATGTGTGTGAGTCTGGGACAGCACATGTCAGGGATGTATTTAGCCCAAGGAAAACTAGGCATTTGTCTTGGACGGCAATATTTAGGGGGCGACAAAAAATGCCACCCTCAAATGCCCACTGCGGTGTCCCCTGTGATACCGCTTTCATATTAGCTGGCCAGCTAATAGAGACCCCCACCAACTTCCGGCGGGCGGCTTACCATCCGAGGCGGCAAGGGAGCTGTGATGTCACTGCTCCCTCGCGCGCCATTTACTGATGCCGTGGGAGCCGGAATATGACGTAATTCCGGCTCCGCCATCAGTAGACAGCGCATGCGGCGCGAGGGAGCAGAGCAGAGAGATCACAGCTTCCTCGCCGCCTCCGGTGGTTATTTTTATGATTATTTTTTAATTTTATTTTAAACCCACACCAGCCTTCCTATCTTTGGGAGAGCTGGGTGGATTTTTTACCTGGGGTCCAGTGGGGCTGCTGGCCGGGCTGCTTGGGCAGGGAGGGAGACAGGCGTGCAGGCAGTTGGGCGGCTAGCTGATTTCCAAGGCAGGCGACGAGGGAGCGCTGGTTTGTGAGCTCTCTGCTCAGCTCCCTCGCGTGTCGCAGAGTGATGCCGGGAGCCGGAATATGACGTTCTAATAATATAACCCAGAGATGTACAGTATAGCGAACCCTGCTACTGTGAATATCGATTACAAACTAATTCTAAGTATTTATTTGTGCAGTGTGCTTACTTCCAAGCTGAGTGGCTTTTGGTGGGACAGTAACCCCCATTTCACATTTGTATTGCACAGCGTTGGGGGGTATAAACATGTGCACTGTGGTATTTAGAATTTGCTAATCCTTTATAATTCCTTGTATCTATCTGACAACTTCACATTGATGGGCAACAAAAAACACTCATATTACAAAAGTATAAATCTGCGCATCAGTCCATAAGGAATCCCAAAGTAATTGTGCTGGTTTGCCAGGATATGAATCTCTTATTAAGTGCGCTGAGTTTAGGATAAGTAGTTCCGTGATTAAGGCTGGAAATCTGGGTTTTAATAAATCACAAGCATCACAATGACATTCAATATAGCCATGAATTTATTTTACAAACAGACTGATACAGGTTATTCACATACAGGGTTATTCACTAAGGTGAGAATTCAAGGTGAATTTCAAATTCAAGGTAAAAATAACTGACCTAGAAAAAAGTCAAAGCCGGCAATGATTTCAGTTTGGCTACTTTGGCCTCAAATTTGAAAATTAATTTAGAGTAATTTTCACCTACTTTACATGGTACATGTTTTCTATTTGAAAGCTAGAACATGGCATTTGTTTTCATATAAATACACGAATTTATATTTTAAAATATATCGATACTTTTGGAGTTTACAGTCGATTATCTGTGAATTTCGGTATTTTCTGCCTGTTGTAGGTCCAGTTGCAGCATTTCAGCAGTATATCCGATCTAATACTTGAATACAGACCATTAATCTCATCTTTAATTCTTAATAGGGTTTATTCACAAAACATTGTTGTATTTAGGTGAAAAGTATCAAAATTAAGGCTAAAAAATCTCCAACTGTGCTACGAAGCTATCGTCACAGCTTGACTGTATCACCAAGTCAGTTCTCAATTCTCTGATTACCAATAAACCATACATTTTTGTTAAATTAACAGTGAATTTTCATAATTCATCAGGGAATTTTATATTTAGCACCACAGTAGCTGAAATATCAACATAATTGAAATGGAGGCTTTTCCGGATTGGTCTAATACTTGCAATTCCTGTACAAAACCAATGCAATCATGATTGTCCGTTATTCTGTCCATAAAGGACCCAACAACATGCCAGCTGTACGATCTCTATCAATGATTGACAACATAAGGTCAGAATTGTTGCTGGTTCCCCTTTTAATGGAATAAAACCTGAAGGATGGTTCCCTTTTATTTGGTAAGGTTTATATACCCCATACCCAGAAATTCAAACTTCCTTCATCTGTAGAGGCACAAGGGGGCAATGTCAACCCATAAAATGGACAGTACTGTGCGTAAAAAACCTTAAATGTTTAGCAAACACCCACTTTGCTCTGGAGCTGGTTATGGAGTGACTACAGACACGGACAACGACGCCAGCGTAGAATGGAGGTGTCTGACCCAAATCTCTAAATCAAATCCTTAGAGATCAATTTTGATGTTCTGATTTGGTGAGATAACCCTCCAATTTCAGTATCATATTTACTGAGCCTTGTGATATTGAACAATGGACATCACTAATTGACTGCGTTCAGTCCTTTCTCCGGCAGGACACCGGGGAGATATAGCCTAGAAAGAAAAGTCTAGGGACATGGTTTTCACAAACATTTTAACACAAACACACACAATCTCAATATAAAAATGACCAGCTCAATAAATATAGCTCTCTGTGATATATAACAGCGAAACAAGCCTTACATTCAGAAATATTAAAAAACCAAATAAACCATTAGCTTAAATTATTAAAAATGACAGTAATAAACATGAGTTTTATAGCATACAGTGGGCGGCATTACTTTATTCGCATCTCTGCATTTAGTGCACTGTAACTATAGTCAAATTGGCTTAAAGAGACAAACAAAAATAATCCGAAAACAGTGCCCCAGAGCTTTTCTTTAATGTAGGATTCCTGCAAATCGACAGGTGCCATAACTTTTAGATTTATATATGAATTGCTATTTTTTTTTATAATGGTAATTTATTTCAAAGCATCGCTGATCCTTTATATTTGCATTAAGTGTTGTGGGTTTCCTTAGGCCAGTGACGGCTAAATTTGCACTACCTGCTGACATTTGTGGACTACAATTCTCTTAATCATCAGCCAGCCAGGATACTGGGAATTGAAGTCTACAGACAATTGCAGTGCCAAATGTGTACATAATTTGGAGGCGGAGCCTGACTGACGAACAGAGCAGACGTGTGTCACAAGAGCTCCTGCACACGCTAGCGTGAATCCGGGGATACCCCCGACTCTAACGACTCTATAAGCACAGCCTAGCGTTAATCTTGCAGAGGAAGCTCCGGTGATTTGGGAGACACCTCACTCGAGTGTCCCCGCAACCGACTGCCCAAATCGAGGCCTTGGGGCCTACACACGAGGGAGCTAGGGAGAGGACGCCGCTCTCCCGGCACCCCAGCTGGCTCCTAAGCAACGGAATCGTGAAATCCCCACCCTGGACCAAAGCCCCGCTGGATCCCACTGGCTGCTCCCACTGGACGCACTATTTGCCGCCTTCTGGGCACGACTGGAAAAACTATCGTCAGCCTCTGCTGGTCTACCTGAACGCACATGGGCCCCCTCCAAGTGAAGCTACCCGCTATGCGCGGGTCCCTCCCATCAAGCGACCCCCCAGACTGAGGTCTAAACAAGGGAGGAACCCATCTCAACGCCCACGATGGAGAAAGCCCCTTTCCTCTGCTCCAGTGCCACGTTCCGGTGAGACATCCCAGGAGGGGCCACGATGCTGGGATGGTGCCCTCCGACTTAGCGACGCCTGATGCCTGCCGCAAACCCAGCTAGAGTTACACACAGCCGCAGCTGCCCCCCTACACAGCCCAGCAGACCGCTGTTCTCCAGAGCCGACTGCATCTCAAAGGCTGGAGGTACACGACGGCGGGCCCCCCCAAGAGAGACATGGGCCCCCTGCATGACCCAGGCTGGAGATCGTGAGAGGGGCTGGAGCATTCGATGGCCTAGTGGAACAGTCAGCAATACCCCTCCCCACTGCCTTAAACTACCATATCTGGGGGCCGACACACTCCCGACGGGTCAAAGATGGGACTACCTGCTCCAGCACACTAGTGGCATCGGGTGAAGGTTTGCAGGAGCCTCTCTCCCTGCTACCACCCTGGTCAGCAGAGCAGAACTGAATGGGTAGTCACCCTACTATTATCCGATACCCAGCGGTTCAAACATATCATTTCAATTGTTTTATATGCTTTAGCTAGATTTGTCTTTATACCCCATGTTTTTTTCTTGTTCCCCTCAACCCAGAAATATACTAGCATAATCTTAACCTGAAAGTCTTCACTTCTACTTAACTGGCTGGCACCCCAGACATGCGCCTAGAGGGACGTTCTAAATTTTACAATACCCTCAGTAATCATACCTTGCAGACTAGCACGTCTCCACACTATAACCTACAGGCTAGTATAGTTTAAGACTAGTAATCTCACTGATAAATGCACCTAGCCGTACATACCTTTGACAAATGTACCTAGCCTCAGTACACTACAGAGCATTAACCCAAGCTAACATGACCCTTCAAAGCATGTATGTTATTCACAGTGGTTGGTTCGCTGGTCTAATCACCACCTCTCAATGCCTACATAGACATACGTTTAGCTCGCTCTCACATAATCAATTCCTCATAATCCTGCTTTATAAGACTGTTTTGCCATTTATTTTCCTATAATCCGCAACATTTCCAGGTAGGCAATGATTTCTAAGAGGCTTTTCCCTATACTCCAGATATGTTCGACAAGCCTGTTATCTTACAACTTTAAAAAAAAAAAAATGTGTTCAGTAATCATATATGCCATGTACCTGTTAAACTGTGTGTATTGCAATCCTTACTACTGCTGTAGTGGCATGGCAAGAGCGTTTGTTCGTTATTTGCACCGCAAAAATAAATAATTTATATTAAAAAAAAAGTGTACATAATTTGTGTAGGCCAAACAAATAGATTCCCTGTTTGAAGCCTGCATGGAGGTCCAACAAGCCTGGAGTCAAAACATTATCATATCCTGCAGGCTACCCTAATTCTTGAGTTGCAAGGGTTATTTGCCTACTCAATTTTGGCAAATTATTCCTTGTCTTTGGTGTATATTGATGTTGCAGCTTCAGTGGAAGAAGAGAAATTATGGGAGGTGCCACTTTAGTTTAGCTCCAATGAGCTAAACAACCAGGAAGTAACAGGACTTAAACATAGATACACAGAATGTGACGGCAGATAAGAACCATTCGGCCCATCTAGTCTGCCCAATTTTCTAAATACTTTCATTAGTCCCTGGCCTTATCTTATAGTTAGGATAGCCTTATGCATATCCCACGCATACTTAAACTCCCTCACTTGTTTAACCTCTACCACTTCAGCTGGAAGGCTATTCCATGAATCCACTACCCTCTCAGTAAAGTAATACTTCCTGATATTATTTTTAAACCTTTGCACCTCTAATTTAAGACTATGTCTTCTTGTTGTGGTAGTTTTTCTTTTAAATATAGTCTCCTCCTTTACTGTGTTGATTCCCTTTATATATTTAAATGTTTCTATCATATCCCCCCTGTCTCGTCTTTCCTCCAAGCTATACATGTTAAGATCCTTTAACCTTTCCTGGTAAGTTTTATCCCGCAATCCATGAACCAGTTTAGTAGCCCTTCTCTGAACCCTCTCTAAGGTATCAATATCCTTCTGAAGATACGGTCTCCAGTACTGCGTACAATACTCCAAGTGAGGTCTCACCAGTGTTCTGTACAATGGCATGACTTGTTGTCTGACAGCCATGGGGGTGTAACAAGGTTAATTTATAAAACACCAATTTATATTTAAATTATTTAAATCTGCACTTTTTATAAAATGGGGGGGGGGAGAGATAAACACTGTTTACACATAAAGCATTTCAGCAAACCAAAAGTTATTTAAGGGTCTGGAGTGTCCCATGAAACCTGAGATTGCCTGTCTGGTAAAACAAATATAAGTTGATGAAGATTCACAGAAGGCTACATATTACATTAAGGTCATTCACATGACGCTCAGAAACCTGGACTTTTGACATTCAGCCTTCTGGCAGTATAGTCTGGTTCATAAAATATTGTAAGAAATTGGAGGAGGAACTTGCTTTGTTATTTCAGCAAATTGACTACCAGTAGGTCCAGCCCATGGTTTCTAGGCAATAGTAATAGATTTATTTTCCCTCTTTGATTTAAATTTCTGTTGCTTTTCTGGTGTTGCCACATAAACCCAACATCCATACATCGGCAGTGTTCGAACTATACCCAAATGTTGGGTATTTATTGAAAGTACACCAGCTTGTTCTCAATAATGCACCACTGTTAGGCTAAATACTGGTACTACCACACATCTAATATACCATCCGAGGTTGCCCACTCCTCTGGCAATGAAGTCCTGTTCGATCGAACGGTGCAATATGAATAGACGGTGCAATTATTGCAGCGTAACTAGGGTTGTATTGGATTATTCTCCCCAGTGGAATGACGTAGTCCTCTCCGATTTATGTTCCCACAAAGTCCATAACTTTAGTCTTTGCTTTGTGATGAACATTCCCTTTGCAATTCATGGACTTCCATCTGTATCACTTTCCGTTGTATAAAATTCCACTTCCGCGTTGTTTTTAATCTTCAAGGCTCTTTTCCTGAGAAAAAATAAATAAATTGCAACTTGTAATGTTGTTTTTAACATGTCTCCTAACGTTCTAATCAACCAATCAATCAAACATCTACACTACAACCATGCTGGAACAAACTATAGTAAAAGGATTCATCGAGGAATAAACAGGCCTTATTTCTCAATATACTTCAGACAATTTTCCCATGCTCAGCAGGGGCAAAATTTATTCAAATACCAGCTTGAACAATGAGTTTGAATTCAGGTTTATGGGTGAGAGAGGTTTAAAGGACATCTTTACAAAATCCTCATCAAATATTACCTTTTTTTTAATAATATTTTGTAAATAGTAACTTTTATTTTTTTAATCCTTTTTTTTTTTTT